TTCTTTTACACAGTTGCCAGGTTCTCTTTTCTCCGAAAATTAACAAAAAAATTCCACAGCATTCAAATACAATAAGGCAATTAGAAGACCGAAATCAATCTTGTTGTAGTTTTACTTAATTACACTTTACCACACAAATCAACATACAAAATGTAGAGTGGAAGAATGCACCATGTTTTGCCTTGTTCTAAGAGTGTGCATGTGCATGCTCTAGTTTATGTTTGTACTCGAGATGCAACAAGGCCCTCTCACAATCTCCAGTAGGAGCTCAAGCTTTTCTTAGTGTGCATGCTCTAGTGTATGCGGGTTGCTGTTGGGGAATCCCAACTACCCAGCCGAGTAAACAACCCATTTTTCGTAGGAATATCCACCAAATTAAGGTCCTCAATTAACAAATTAAAGGTTTTCATGTTTTTGGTAACTATTCCTCCATTGAATTTTTCTGCCAGTCTTCTAACCACATTGAAATCGCCTGCAAGGCACCAACAATCAGAACACAGGCCATAAAGATCTGCAATTTCTTACCAAAAAGCATCCCTACCTCTATAAGAGGAAGGACTGCAAACCCCTGTAATCCATCCCCTACTGCAGTCTTTAAAAATGATATGAATTGAGACAGAGAATGAACCAGCCACTAAATCAAAAACTTAAACTGAATTCTAATTCCACAAATTAATAATCCTGCCAGGAGACCGTACAACACCCAATTCTGACTAGCCAATGCCCAGGACTCCATATGGATTTCACCAGCTTCCTGTCAAACAGCTCTAATTTAGTTTTCTGAAGAATAACTACATGCGAATTAGATTTAGATAAAAAAGAATTAATTAGAGCTCCCCAAACCCTCTAACATTCGAAGAGATTACTTTCATGGAGAAACCACAAGGTTCTCCAAATGGAACCACCTCTACCTACCCAAAAGAGGAAGACTTACCATCCTACAATCGATCCTTTATATTTTTTTAACTTATTACCTCTCCATTTTCCACATCTCCAGTGAAGGAGCCAGAACAATTTGATTTCTTTTGGAGAGCACAAATGGGAAACGACAAGCTCTGAGTGTAAATTGGAACAAAACACAACTTCATCTTCAAGAAAATGGCCTCGACATTGGCAACATAAGAAAAGGAACTCAGCCCTCCTCTCAAAATGGATCAGGAGATACATAAATGAGAAAGATCACTTGTGGAGGACTTTCATTGCAACAAAATATGGAGAAGCCACCGTTGATGATTGGCCTACAACAAATTCCCATCTTTTCAAAGGTCCATGGGGAGAAATCCTTGTACAAACTCCTCTTATTAAAGAAGTTGATATAAGCAAGGTGGGAGATGGCAGCAGCACCAGTTTTTGGCTTGACAAATGGCTAGAGACCACCTCTTGGCAGTAGTTTTTCCAAGCCTTTATTTGTTCTCCACTAACAACCAAGCTACTACAGCTAAGGACCTATGGTCCCCAATCACAAAATCTTGGGACTACAATCTTAGGAGAACGCTCAAAGATGAAGAGATCGAAGACAAAATGATGTTATCTCACAAATTCTCTTGTTTCACTCTCACATCTTCACAAGACACATGGTTATAGCCTTTGGACCCTTCAAATCGCTTCACAGTTATTCCCTATTCACTCATTCATCCTCTGGTAGAGACAATGCCTTCCTTTTCCCTTTCTGATAGACTTTGGAAAGATAAATATCCAAAAAAAATTAAATTCTTTTGTTGGGAACCCAATCATAGAGCAATAAACATCGGTCTAAAAAAAGCATTCAAACAATCAGCGTCGGTCTAAAAAAAAGGATTCAAACATGGACATCTCTTTGAATGTCTACTTTCTCTGCTTCAGAGACACTAAAATACAATGACATCTTTTTATCTCGTGCGACTTTGCTGTCGGTTTCTGCACGCTTTGCCGGTGGGTCACCCTTTCAAAAAGGGAAGGAGGAATTATATGGATGAATTTGGTTAGAGATTTCTTTTGGAATGCATGGCTTGAAAGAAACAACATGATCTTCAAGAACACCACTCTTCCTTTTAGTATCTTTTTTGTAGAGTTATGGGTATAACATTTAATTTATGTAAATATTTCTACTCTCCTTTAACTAATTACAGTCTCAATGACCTATGATAAGCTGGAAGGCTTCTTTGTAATATAATTTGGGGTCCTTTTGTATATTTCATATCACCAATGAAATATTTGCTTCTTGCCTAAAAAAATATTTAGAGACCACCGACACATCGAAGAAACCATTGGTGCTATATTTCAAGGTAACCAATACTTAGAACCGACATATTTAGGAAATTATTGATCCTTTATTTCGAGGCAACTATAGGGGCAACCTCCATATTGAGGTAAGCATTGGTTCTTTTATTTCAAGGCATAACCAATAGTTAGGGACAACCGAGATATTGGGACAACTATAGGTCCGATTGTTTCGAGGGAACCAATATTTCGGTTCACTTGGCGTATCGATGCAGCTATTAGTCTGATTATCTCGAAGGAACCAATATTTAGGTTTATTTGACATACCGTTCCAACCATTAATGCTCGTTTATTTTCAAGGCAACCAGTATTTAAAAAGAGCCGACTTAACGAGGAAACCATTGGTCTTTTATTTGAGGCAACCAATATTTAGAGACAACCTACATATCGAGGCAACTATTTGTTAAATTATTTCGAAGAAACCAATATTTAGGGACATTTGACATATCAATGTAGTCATTGATAGTTTATATTGAGACAACCAAAACTTAAAAATATTCGATATGTCGAGGCAACCATTGATGCTATATTTTAAGGTAACCAATACTTAGCGACAACCGATATATTTAGACCACCATTGGTCATTTATTTCAAGGCAACGAATATTTAGGAACAACCGACTAATCGAGGAAACCATTGGTTCTTTATTTTGAAGAAACCAATATCTAGGGACAACCAACATATCGAGCAAATCATTAGTCCAATGACAACAAATATTTAGGGACAACCAACTATTGAGGCAATCATTATCAATATTTAGGGACAACCAATACTTATCGAGGCGATCAATATTCAAGTTCATTTGACATATCGATCTAATCATTATTGCTCGTTTATTTCAAGGCAACAATATTTAAGGAGAGGCAACTTACTTTGGAAACCATTGGTTTTTTGTTTGACACAACCAATATTTAGAGACATCGAACATGTCGAGGCAACTATTATTTTAATTATTTCGAGAAAACCAACATTTAGGGACATTTGAAGGACGTTTATGTGGAGGCAACCAATATTTAAAGATATTCGATATGTTGATGCAACCATTGCTCCTATATTTCGAGGCAGACAAGCGACGCATCAATGCAACCATTGATCCTATTGATCCTATAATTCAAGGTAACTAATACTTAGGGACAACCAATATATTTAGGAAACCATTGGTCCATTATTTTAACACCCATTGATCCATTATTTTAGCTTTAGGCCACCATTGGTCAATTATTTTAACACAACAGATATTTAGGGAAAACCGAATAATTAAAGAAACCATTGGTTCTTTATTTTGAGGAACCAAGGCAACCATAATTCAAGGTAATCAATACTTAGGGAAAATCGACACATTTAGGCAACCATCGATCCTTTATTTTAGGGCAACAAATACACAGGAACAATCGACTAATTGAGGAAACAATTGGTTCTCTAAAACCAATATTTAAAAACAATCGACATATCAAGCGAACCATTAGAGTCTGATTATTTCAAGGCAACAAATATTTAGGGATAACCGACATATTGAGGCAATCATTGCCAATATTTAGGGACAACCGACTTGTCGAGGMATCAATTACTCTTATATTTTGAAGCAACCAATATTTATCAAGGCAACCAATATTTAGGTTCATTTGACATATATTTAGGTTCATTTGACATATCGATCCGACCATTATTGCTCGTTTATTTCAAGGAAACCAATATTTAGAGACAACTGACACATCGAAGCAACAATTAGTTCAATTATTTCGAGGAAACCAATATTTAGGGACATTTGACGATTGTTTATATTGAGGCAACCAATATTAAAAGATATTCGATATTTTGAGGCAACCATTGCTCCTATACTTCGAGGTAGACAAGCGACACATCAGGTCCTATATTTCAAGGTAACCAAAACTTAGGGAAACCTGATATATTTAGGCAACCATTGGAAAAAACAAACTTTCATTAAAAGTATGAAAAGGAAAACTGAAAACCTTTCATCAACCAATATATTTCAAGGCAACCATTGGTCTTTTATTTCAAGGCAATGGATATTTAGGGACAACCGACTAATCAAGGAAACCATTGGTTCTTTATTATGAAAAAACCAATATTTAGGGACGACGAACATATTGAGCGGACTAATGGTCCGATTATTTCGAGGCAACAAATATTTAATTTGAGGAACAACCAACGTATTGGAGCAATCATTGCAAATATTTAGGGACAACAGACTTGTCGAGGCAACAATTGCAATTATATTTTGAGGCAACCGATATTTAGGTACACTCAATACATTGAGGCAATCATTGATTTTATATTTCGAAGTAACCAATATATAGGGACAATTGACATCTTTAGGCAACTATTGGTCGTTTATCTCTATGCAACCAATATTTAGGGACAACCATCGTATCAAAGCAACCAATATTTAGGGACAACCGTCGTATCAAAGCAACCAATATTTAGGGACAGCCTGCACATACCGAAGCAACCTTTGGTTGCATAATTTGAGGCAACCAACTTACATATCAATGGCAACCATTTATATGGGTAGTTCGAATGAATGTTAGAAATGCACTGGCAAAGGGTTCAAAGTTGCTCGACCAGCCCCTAATTGGTTCCCTCTATGAGATGCTATGCTGGTCGAAATGGCACAAAAATTGTTGGTACTAGTTGAAACAATTTTGCAACTTATTTACTATAAATAAGTAGCTTAAAAAGAGTACACATTCATATGAGTAGTTTGAGTGAATGTTAGAAAATAGGTCAAGTTGCTTAACAAGCCTAACGAGTACCATTAGTAAACTACAAAAAATTTTGCTTTCACAAGAGATTGCAATAGGGGCCAAAAAAAGGCTAAGGAACTAATCGTTGAAACTATTTGCCATAAATAAAAAGCTTAAAACGAGTACATGTTCATATGAGTAGATCGAGTGAATGTTAGAATTGTACTCTGTAAAATGATTCAAGTTCCTTAACCAGCCTAATGGGTTCCCCCCGCTGAGAGATGCTATACTAGCCAGCCTTTGGTTAACCAAAAAATGTTAGTTTCACACAAAAAAATGATTAAAGTAAGTACAAGCTTAAAAGAGGACGCATTCATCTGAGTAGTTTGAGTGGATGTTAAAAATTGTACTAAAAAATATCAGCAAGCTTCTTAACATGCCTAATGGATGACCTCTTAGGGAAGGTATACTAACAAAACTATGCTTAAGCAACCGAATCAATGTGGAAAAAAGAGCTGACAAGGAAATAAATGTTGGTACAAGTTGATACGAATTATAGTCTAGGGTTTGAGAATTGTACAAAGATAGCTTGGGTTTGAGAATTGTACAAAGATAGCTTGGGGTAGGGGCTTATGGGTTGAAAGAAATGCCAGAATTTTTAAGATCTCACTTAAGTACTAGATTCTTACCATATGGGTATTTGGTCAAAAAGGGAAAAATAAAAAATTTAATAAAAATAATCAAAGTTCTAAAGATTCAGGAAATAAACCCAAAGAGAGAGAGCAAATAACTGGTCCCCAATTTCTAAATTAATTTTCTCTTCAACACCCATAAATGAACTCTTGAATTCATTATTGAAGGTTCGTTGCAATAATTATCACAAAATTAAAGGTTTGTTGCAATAATTATCACAAAATCAAAGGTTCGTTGCAATAATTATCACAAAATTATAAACATGTAGCAAGGGAGATGCAAATGACTACGTAGCACCGTAAAAAGTGATATTGCAAGTATTCTAAGTTCAATGAACAAATATAAGACAAATAATATACATACCTCTAAGAGAATATTGAGATAGCCAAGTACCTTATAATAGGCATACAAATCAGGTTGGATGCCTCCTGTATATCTTGAGATGGCTAGGTACCTTATAAAAATGATGAACAATATACAATCAATCAGAGTAAAATAAGCAAATATGGTCAAAATTATCTTCAATGTTTTTCTCTCTTTAAAGAGAATGTAAGCATCTCAATAACAAGATAGGAAGATAATTTTCACAAAGAAATTTTGACAGAATTGCATAGAGATTTCTCAGAGAAAAAATTAAAGAAAATATTCCAGGGAAAAAAGATTATATAGAGAGAAATGCTGGGAGAAAACTTACATCTAGAACCAATCCCTTCATCCGGTGCGGAGCAGAGTAGATAGCATTCTGCTCTCTTAGTCCAAATGGCACTCTGCAACCCATAATCGTAACCAACAAAGGGCACCCAATCTTCGTTCCCAATATAAAACCAAATAAATTATCTTTAATTTGTATCCTAGTTGCACATTGAATAAAACCACCACAATGTTAACCTATTGCATCCACAATCTCTCTCCAAAGCATCAAATGAGATCTCGAAAGATTTATCCAATCCCCTAACAAGGAATCAACATCATGTCAATGAGGATTTTATACAATATTTAAAAAATTATCAAAATTATCTTGGCAATAACCCCTTGGAAAGCTTGCACAGAAGCGTCCTTGTACATACAGTTATATAGAGAAAGAAGTTTGAGAGACGAGAAAAAGTTGAGAGAAGTCACAGGTACTTCTTACCTAGTTCCTCAATGTCACAGGTCACCTACTTCTTCAGATATTTTTGTATTCTGTAATATATTTAATATGAATTACTTTGCCTGCACATAGATAAAATAAAAATTATGTAATTTTTATTAGTTCAAACAGTTTACAAGAATTAATCAGTCACACCCGAAAAAACCGAAAGGGAATTGAGATTCAGAGGTAAACAGAATCATACGTCCAGAACTGCGAGAATGAGGGCAGGCGGAGTGCATTTAGGGTTTTAAATCTTTTAAAATATAATTAAAGAGAGAGAGAGAGAGAGAGTACCTTGCCTCAAAAAGGATTTCTTGATATAATAAAAACGCAGCTTACAAGCTACCAATAGGTAAGCCCGCACGGCAGAATGGCCAAAGGGATGATCAATTTGCCAACTAACTATAGGAGTAACACCGAATTCTTCCTTATAAATCTATGCCCAAGAGTTGTTGATCAATTATATTGATGTAGTGTTTTGCTGCCTATCATGCATGCGCATGCCCCAATTTCTGAATTGGAAAAATAAAGAATTCAAACTGTTGGATGGTATTTTACATGGACACGAAAAGCAATAATTATTTAACATGAATTGTAATTGACCCGAGATAATTATTTTCCTGACTACATCCTGAAATCCTCACCCTGATCTGCCCATCATCTTTGGAAAAATGCATGTACTAACAAAAAAAAAAGTGATAGTGTAATAATTAGCAAGCAGAAGATGGAAAATTTATAATAATAAAAATGCCAATAATATCTTTTTTTAAAATGCCCTGGAGAAGATATTTTATTCTATCAAGTATTTTAAAAAATCATCCAATTAACCTGACACTTTGCAAGTCTTTATAATAACAGCTATCTATTTGACTTGTGACATAAAAAACATAAGATACGATTAAAGAGGGCACTTTTATCAGTAGCATGATTTTTTATAACTTTACAAGTTGTCAACTAGGGAAGAAACAAATGTCTACCAAGGTTCCTGTCCATAAAACATTGAAATACGTCCTGTAGATCTAGTAGTCAAGGAAGAGACGAGCGATAAGAAAAAAATCCCACCGAATAAGGCATTAGTTTTCATTTTTCAATAGCTGAAGAGCTAGGAAAACATGTCTAGAGATTATCCATTTTTGTTGCCATTTTCCAATGGCATGGATTATTTTCTCATAACCCAAAAATTATTATATTAGCCATAATCATTCTCAAAACTAGAATGAAGAACAACATACCTGCTCGACATATATAAATTTTCGATTCTTGTCGGCCAGTAGTGCTGAAACCATCAAATCCAGCACATTCTGCATGCAAGATTAAGTAACGCGAAAAACAACTGTTCAGTAGAAATAACCATTTACTTTACAGGCAATAAAGAAATTGTAGAAATTGAACAACTTAACATGATCATTCTTGAATTAGCATGAAACAAAAGGAGACTCGGAGTTTTATCAATAAGACCACACCAAAATTGATGAATTATTTTCATTCTAATGAATAAACAAAATACTCGGATTTATATATGAAATATTAAATACAACAGAAGAACTAACAAATTTTAAACCACTCTGTGGAACACGTTAAGTGCCTCAGCTCCAGAGTTAGAGCTTATAGTAACGAATGTTTCCTGAAGGTTTTGTAATCTAAATCATAAACAATAAAAATATTTTCATAAACTTAACCATACGTACGGAGGTGAACACTTTCTAGTGTTTGAAATTGAAATTATTAGTTGTGCAGGCAGAGAGAGAGGGAGCGAGAAGAGAGGAGAGAATATAAAATAAATTATGTTTTACCTCCTCGTCTCACTCGTGCTGGAAGGTTCGAGTCCAAACTGGCAACGAACTACTAGACACATTCTTCATTAGAGGATGAACAGAAGCTGCCTCCTAACATTATTAATTGAAAAAGAATGTGAATGGAATTCTGAAACTTCAAGTTTGCCTTTGAAGCCCCCGTGATGGTTTTTAACCCTAAACTTCCGGAACCTCAATTTCTACCCTTAACTTCCGGAACCTCAATTTCGTGAATTCTGAGCTAAACAAAAGCGAGAATTAGAACAGGAGAGAAAGACAACTATGTCATACCTCTGACACAGAAAAATATTTCCGAAAGAGAGTTTTATAGTTTACTTAGCAATGAAAAATACTACGCTCAAAGATTTTTAGCCAGAAATTTAAATGAAACCCATAAATCAAGGTAGGAAAATACCAAGACGAATTTGGTAGATGAAAGGGCGTCATATATACGCAAGGATTGAGAGTGCAAAAAACCCTAATCGGGATTGAGGATCATGAAAACCCTAACCAGATTGATGGCAATAATTTGACTTGTTGAATAGAAATTTGGAAACGGAAATGCAAATAAAATTCAAGGCAGAAAAACTACCCGAAGGGATTTGAATCCTTGGTAGGGCAAGTGTGTGTAAGATAAGTTGCAGAGAAGACTCCTCCATCTGCGGAGGTGAGTGGGAAAAACCCTAATCAAGATTCGAGAATGGGGAGCATGAAATGAATTGGAAACCCTTAGCTGTAAGAAGAAACAGATGGATGAGGATGAACAGAGTGCAGCAGCAGCGAGAAGCGAGCGAAATTCTGGCAGTAACGACGCGCGAAATGGTTTGCCTTTTAAAGAAACTTCAATGCGTGTGAACTACGCGTCGCGTATCGGGTAAGCGACCTGTAGAAAATGAAAACCGAACCGAACCGGTTAAAATCGAGACGGTTTGATTGGGTCCGATTTTTTACGTCCGGATGGAAAGCATGATAATGAATGATATGGGAACGCTAATTAAAAACAAATTAGATCAATTGTAAAAAGTAAAAAATGTTTATTTTTCGTTAAAAGGAAACTTTTTGTTTCACGAAAAATAAACATTTGTATACCCAACTCTCATGTTTATTACTTCGTTTACGTTTTCGCATTTTAAAAGAATATTGTTTTTGTCTCCAATAACCTTATCGTTTAATCAAGAAATTGACAAAATTTCGCGAAGCTTAGTCTTAGACGAAGCCGACGAAAAACATGCATTAAATAGCTTTAACGTTCAAGTTAGTCTTGGTTTGATCTGTACTCAATTTGAGGATAGTTTTGTGTACCTAAAAAATTATGCGGAATTACGTATTTATAAAGGTTGTGCTTTCGATAATCCTGAAAATCAGGACACGAGAAGTGGTTGTTGGTTTGCGACAGACAACGTAGTATTCATCGGCTCATCCTTTACGATGGTGAACTATTGAATGCTTCATTAGTCGGCGACTTTTAGGAAGTTACGAACGACTCATAATTTTAATATCGATTCAGCCTTTAGGAAGTTCCAAGCAGTTTACTTTAATCTTCAAGGACTTGGTCTTTTGTGTGCCATTATGATGGCTCGAAATATCTCGACCTATAAAATTTTGACATGTGAATTATGTAAAATCACCCCTCCAATGAGAATTTATATAAATGAATTAAATTTATCCAACCTATCAACTTAAGTTTTTGGGCTGAGTGGATTTAGGGTTTAGGATTCATCCTCAACATCCAACACCCTATAAAACTATTTTTATTTTCATCATTAAATTTTTATACCATAAAAAAAAAAAGAAAAAAAATTTCATGCTACTCATCCATGCCATTTAAACATAAGTCTACTTATAGTACATAATTTAAAGTTAGGATTAAATTAAAATGACTCTTATACAAAAATTTAAGACGAAAAAAAAAAGTGCGAAGGAACAAAATAAAATTTAAATCCTTTGCAAAAATAAGGTTAAAAAATACTTTTGGTCTCTGTACTTTAGTTAAAATAACAATTTAGTCCCTGAACTTTATTTTGTAACGATTTAATCCCTGTAATTTCAGATTATTAACAATTTAGTCTTTGAACTTTAATATGTAACAATTTAGTCATTGTAATTTAAAGTTGGTAAGGATTTAGTCGTTATCGTGAATTTTTTTGGTTAAATTTCTTATATATATGGATAGATAAATTAAGGAGGGACAAAATATGTTTATAACGAGAAAGATTAAATTGTTATACAATAAAATTTGACACTTAATTTTAATAAAATTGTTTACGATAGGGACTAAATTGTTACAAATTTTAAACTATAGGAGACTAAATCATTACAAATTTACAAGTTAAAATTTAGGGACTAAATTGTTAGTTTAGTGAAAGTACATGGATTAAATCGTTACAAACTAAAGTTTATGGACTAAATTATTAGGTTAGGGAAAGTAGTGTTTTTTAACCTATAATAAATTTTAAATTTAAACAAAAAGTAAAATCAATCAGAAATTTATTTTATAGGGAAAAAATATATGTATAGAAACAAAACAAAGCAAATTACAGAATCCGCGCTACCCGCTTCTCCACACTTTTTATTTTCAGTAATTTAAAACTTTCATTGATTTCATCACAGAATTCGGAAGCTCCACAAAAGTTTCGCAACCGCTCTCTCTCTCAATGACTATATAATATTTGCTCGTAATCTGAGAGAGTAGAGCCAATCCCAACGCCGATTCCATTGCTTTCTCTTCCAAATCATTTCCTGGCTTCCTTTTTCGCCCCCGAGGCCATGGAAATTCCGACTAAACTCGTCGTTTTCTTCTCTGTTCTGCTCTTTTTCATGCATTCATCTTCTATATCTGCGCATGTAGTAGGTAAAATCTTCGCTGCTGCTCATTTATCCATCTACATTGTTTCGATTTCTCCCCTTTCCCTGTTCTTCTTGCATTTGCCCTCTGTTTAAACCATTCATTGTATTCGTATTTCTGTATTTAATTTCTGGTTCTATTAATTATTGTTCGAATCGAACGCACTTGTCTTATCTCAATCGCTTGATGTAAATAAATTTCCATTTACTTAGTTGTGTAAAAATCGATTTAAAATCTTGAGATGGAAGCTAGAGTTTGGCGGGAATATTTGCATCGGCTTTTCGAACTCGTTGCAGTTAGTGTACTCTTCAATACAACTGATATTATCTTTACATATCGTTTTGATTTCTCTCGCTTCCATTTTCTTCGTGTTTAAACCACATATTTATGTATCTGTTTTCATTTCTGATTTTACTAATTAATTTTTGAATCGAAGCAGCGCTCGTAAATGCTTGTTCCTTTACTTTAGTCGAGTAAAAATCGATGTAAAATCTCGAGATGGAAGCTACTGTTCTGCTCGAATATTTACACCGGTATTTCAAAATCGTTGGTTGCAGGGCACGAGGTAGAGTTCGAGTACAAAAAAGGGAGCGTTAAAGGGCCAGAACAATGGGGAAATCTAAAGAAAGAGTGGGAAGCTTGTAACAATGGACGTTTGCAATCTCCCATAGATTTAACAAGCCAGGGAGTGAAGATTACTCCAGAGTTGGGACTGCTAAACAAAAGTTACAATCCTTGCAGTGCAACATTAAAAAATAGGGGCCATGATATTTCTGTAAGAAATTGAACACATTCCCTCTCTGTATATCGATTTTTATGGTTTCTTGATTTGTTTCAAGACTTTTCACTCTTTAATGTGGCCGGATGCAGCTATTTTGGGATGGTAATGCAGGATCAATCCTGGTAAACGGCGTCGTTTATAATCTTCAACAAATTCATTGGCACTCACCTACAGAGCATACGGTCAATGGAAAAAGGTGTTTCTTTCGCACTAAATTGCAATTACACAACCATCCTATTTTGACCACCCAGAAATCTATTGAATGTACTAATTAGTGTATTAAGATACAATTATTTTCTGTAATCTTTATCTATCAATCAGGTTCGACTTGGAACTCCACATGGTTCACCAGACTCCTGATAACAAGATTGCTGTTGTTGGTCAACTCTATCAAATTGGCCAACCAGACCCTTTTGTCGCCCAGGTAAACCACTTGGTTGTTTTATAAACTCAAATAGATTTAAGTGATTTTAACTCATGTATGTCATAGTTAATGATTGCTACTAATAAGATAACTAACACGTGAATTATCAAGTAAAATGATACCTTTACTTTCATTTGACTGCATAATTCTTTTATGTTTGTCTAGTTGAGCGTGGGAATAAGCGGCATGATTGATCAGATGCAAGAAAAGAAGATGGGAGTGATGAATCCAGCCGACATCAAGTTTGGTGGAACAGAGTACTACAGATACATTGGTTCTCTCACCGTTCCTCCTTGCACCGAAGGTGTAATTTGGACCTTAAACAAAGAGGTAACGAGGAGTTTCTTCCAAACATTTTAATTACAACCATTGAAACTAAATCGGCTCATCCTTTTTTAAACAAATGCTTGTAACATTGCTATATGGATTAGAGTGAGTGAAAGATTTAAGTTGAATTCTAATCGGTTAGAATTTTGTCAAAATTTTGGGATTGAATCTTATCAAGGTTTTTGAACTGAAATACAACAGATTGGGACAGTGTCAAAGGAGCAAGTAGATCTTCTAAGGGAGGCTGTTTATGATGTAAGAACCTCAATTACTTTTACTACAAAATGTTGATGAGTCTGTTCCTTAGGAATTGAAGCATTTGTCTGTTTGTTGTTTGTTGTTCATTGCAGTATGCAGAGTTCAATGCAAGACCAACGCAGGCACTCAATAATCGAGAAATCAGTCTTTATTCGGCGAACTCAAAAATTTGAAGGCTGATTATCCAAATTTTGCCCACTAATTTGCAATTGAAAATATCAAAATGTTTATGTAGGATATGGAAATTTGAACTTGGAGGGAATAAAATAAACCAACCAAAATAATAAAATGACATACAATAAAGTCTCTAGCATTTGAGAGACATATTGTAAAGTTCTTTGAGTCCACTCACAACAAGACAATGGGCTTTTCCATGCAATCCCATTCTCCTAACTGCAGTGATTACTTCTCAAAGAACAGGACAACGTCATTCCTTGATTGCTTCTAAGTTCTAACATTACAAGGTTGTTTTTTACTATTGGTTTCCTTTAGTGCTTCTAACATAACAAGGGTTATTTTTTACCAAAAGATTTCCGTTCAATTTTTTTTTTTTAAATTTCTGTAAATTCAAAACATGTGGAAGGATTATACTTAAATTAAATTTAACTATAAAAATCTAACAAAATCTTAAAAGAAATATATTATATTTATAAAAACCTAATTTAATTAAAAAATCTAACCAAATCTTGAAGCAGTTGATTAAAAAAAAAACAAATTTTAAATTAAATTTAACTGACCAAAGAAAAGTTAAGTTCTCATATGGGTTCAAAAAAGAAAAAATCAAAATTAAATTTAACTAGAAAAAATCTAACAAAATCTTAAAAAAAAAATTTAAATTAATTTTAACCAACCAAATTTTAAAACAAACAAAGTCAATTTAACTAATAATTAAACATTTAAAATTTATATTAAATCTAATTTTTTAAAAATTATTTCATGCTTTATATGTATCTATATTTCAATAATAAAAAATAACATTAAACTTTAATTTACTAATTTTCATAAGTATCCGTAAAATTCGGACCTCGATATTTTCATCGACATTTCAAACCTTGTTAACAATATCCAAAGTTCTCTATATGGAAGAGGAGTTCTGTCTCTAAAGTTGTGAAAGGAAATGATCAGGAAAGTGAAATCAATCTGAATATGGGACCAAACCCTTTCTTTACCAAATAAAAAAAAACATGATCTATCTAGGCTTATTAAATTCCATCCATCGACTTTCAATTATGGATTTAGAAAAGCTTTTGGTTCTTTGAGTTCAATTATCTTGCGAGAAATTGATTCGTGACTTTAAATTTTCCCAAAAAGACTAAGAATCTAAAAATAAATGGGATAAGCATGATTTTTCTGGACAAGATTTTCTTCCGTTCCTTTTAGAAAGGTGAAAGGTAAAAAGTAAAAAAGGCATCAAAACATGTGGGCAAATGAATTTTCTTACCTAATGCCTTGCACATGCACACATATATTGGACCCAATTCTCATCCTTTCACTATCTTTTATTTAATATCTTTTTCTTTTTCGATTTTATTCATTTTTGAAACAGACAGCAACTAAACGGCTGCAAAACTCCCCTTTTCTTTTGAAAGGCTAATTTCTCTCTCCCTCTTTACTTTTTTTTTTTTCCTTTTTAAAGTACAACTACGGAAAATCCGAACTCATGGTTTTTTGGATAAATATAATTATTGTTGAGTTAAGTTCACTTTTTTTTAAACAAATTTGAATAACACTTTCTTTCCATTTTTATCCTCATTTTTTCTTCTTTGGAATTTCAAGTTAGACTGTAGTTATCTATAAGCCTGTATAATGTAAGTTTTAAAAAAATAAAAATCTATTGACTTGGTTGAATTTTTTTAATATATTTATGAATATTGGGACCAATTTATGAGTTGAAATTTTGTTTTTTAAATAAATTATTTGCTTTACACTTTTAAATAATAAGGTTTGATTAGACCATTTGAGTTGATGTTATCTTGAACAATGAAATTACTATTTAGTATTCAGGTCTCTAATTATGGTTAAAAAAAACTAGAGATAATTCATGGCTTTTTCAACTTAAGTTTTATAAACTAAACTTTTTAATATATTGAAATTCTAATAGCTATATTATAGAAATTCGATTTATCTATTATACATTCATACGACGTATTGAGATACCATATCATCATCTTATCCAAAAAAAAATTAAACAATATCTCAAACATCGGCTGGAGTGATATAGACTTGTCCATATATAGAATAATTTCTTTTAAAAAAAAGAAGTAAGAATCTTGCCGAAAAAGTTKATCCAAACACAAAATATGGTTGGATGGAAGAGCCAATTCAACTGACTTAAAAGTTTCATACACATGTATGCCAACTTTTCTCTGTTCTGTCTATGTCAAAAACTCGATATTTGTTGGTATCATAAAATGGTGTGTTAGATATAAAATATTTTCATAAAACTCACAACTTGGAAATAGATATCACAATTACTTACGATTTCGATCGGATCCCTCACACGGAAAGAAAGCATATATCGAGTTGAATATGCAGATTTGTTTCAAAAAAAGAAAAAAGAAAAGGAATCTGTAGAGTGATTATTTTCCCCATTTCGGCAGACAAACACAGCACAACCATAAAAGAAAAATTGACATGTTCTTCGGCTACGTTGAAAAAAAAGATGTACAAATTTCCAAAACAAAGTAATTAAATGTCAAAAGTTTATGCGATTCTCTTCTCTTATCCCACAATTCCTTCTTCAATTCGTACTTATCCACAGGCCTCCTCCTCCTCCTCCTCCTTCTTCTTCTTCTTCTTCTTCTTCTTCTTCTTCTTCTCTCTATAAATTCCTCAACGCCATCTTCTTCTGCCATATAACTTGTCTTTCTCTCTCTCTCTCTCTCTCTCTAGTCTCTGCTTTCACGTGTGTCTCACGTGTCTCCCTGCTTTTTGTTCTCTCCGTCCTCGGAGGAGCGTGCGTTGCGCACTAAAACGCTGCCGTTTCACAACGATTTTTCAAGTGGTTTTCATCTATTATCTGGTACGTAGGAAGGAAGTAAATGACCAAAATGTCCCTTTTTTTTTCTTCCATTTATCTATGGTAAGTAAATTTCCGATGTTCATGAAATAGTAATATTTATAGGTATGATGCATAGCTTAAAGACATACATACTTTTCTTTCTCTTGATTTTAGAAGGTTAAATTTTTGCATCTCATTATAAAAAATATCTATATAATTACAACCATTTAAAAAAGTGACTTACTAATTTATTAAGAAATCTTTTATTTTATGAAATATATATTTTTTATTAATCTTATTTATATTTCCAATATATTTAAATGTTTTCAAAGAAAGTATTGTTTCAAATATCCATACTACATCCTTTAAGATGAGGATAACTCTATTTTATTTATAAAAAGTGAATTAGTGTCCATAAACTTAGTATCAACTATCAAGGATAGAATATGAAAAACAACGTAGAATTTGCTTAATAAAATAATAACTTTTCGTGTAAAAGTGCAACGACGCCGTTTGATTTCTTGGGGTAGTTTGGTAAATTCGATTAGCAGTAAAGGGAATATGAATAAGGCGGACACGCTGGCGTGTTGCCTCGTCATTGATTTGCGTACAAGGAAACACGGCGGCGGTCCGAGCTTTCCAAAGGGTAGTTTTGGAATTTCAAGTCCCTCTTCTTCCTCCTCCGGCGAGATCCCTCTCTGAGACCTCATTTTTGGAATTTCAAGTTTTCTTTGTCGGAAGGGAACCTCTTTTCTTTCTTGTGATTTTTATTTATTTATATTTTTTTTGTATCTTTCACTCGTTTTTCACCTCATTTTCGTTCTGTTACTAAATCGATCGATCATACTTGTATTTAATTTCCTCGATTTTCAGGAGAGCGGAATGGAGTCTCGGTTGTCTACGAATGGGACCTTCTGTAAGGGCGATAAATCTTCGATCGATATCGGATATGGCAGCAACGGGTAATTAATCTTTCTCATGCAGCGTTTACATAAATTTTCCATCTGATTTGTGCGGTTTTTGGTAGCTGCGGGATATTACTGAGCTTTTTTTCCCCTGTGAAATTTTTCTGAAGGTGTTCCCATTATAGAAGGAGGTGTAAGATCAGAGCACCTTGTTGCAATGAGATATTTGATTGCAGGCATTGCCATAACGAAGCTAAGGTTGGCTGCTGCTTTGTTTTATTGTTTCTATTTTCCTCTCTCTGTTTCATATCTATAAAATTGTGTGAGAGATGGATTGATGAAGCTTATTTCAATGGTCTTTCTGTAGAACTCGTTAGATGTGGATCCTCTCTTACGCCACGACATTCCTCGCCATGATATGAAAGCAGTAAGTTTCCTTGTTTTTCTTTGTAGCTACACTCTTTGAATTGTTTTTCCTCTCTCTGTTTCATATCTATAAAATTGTTACTGATTATTGGTATTGAGATTTCTGGAAACTATATATATATATTTTTTTGGTCACTTCCTTAAGTTCAATTTGGCTAGGATCTTTTGTGTTTAGGAGATTACAAACAAAGATATTGAGAGTAAAGTAAGCTTATTTTTATTAAAAAAAAATAGAATTCTTATCAAGAAGACCTTTAAATTCTCTATATTATGAATTCTAATTCGTTAATTCTTGTGTTGAATTTCCCTACAGGTCATCTGTTCTTTGTGTGGCACGGAACAGGATGTAAGTCCTTTCTTTAGAAACTCCTTCACTGAATTTTGGGAGATAGAATTAAATACCTTTGGTTACTTCTTCTAGGTGCGACAACATTGTATTCAATGTGGAGTTTGTATGGGGAAGTACTTTTGCGCAAAGTGCAAGTTCTTCGATGACGATGTAAGCTTCTATCGGCTAGTTAACTTTCGACATTCTTAGTCGTGTTCTTAATTTTTTGGTAACTCAAAATCTTATTTTATTTGCTAGGTTTCAAAGAAGCAGTACCATTGTAATGAATGTGGCATTTGCAGGTCCAACCATTTCCTGTATCTTCTCTGTACTTTTATGTAGTTACCTTTCTTACTCCACTGCCCTCATTTGATTTATTAGATGCATTTTTAGTACACAGTTATATTTTCTTTTTTCGTTACGCAGAGTGGGAGGTGAGGAGAATTTTTTCCATTGCAACAAGTGTGGTAGGTTTTTTTGGACATTTTTTATGAGTCAACTGGTTGGAGTTCTACTTTTTCAGCCATTGAATTTTGGAGATGTTCCTTCATCCTTTCAGGTTGTTGCTATTCAAAACTGATGGAGAACTCCCACAATTGTGTGGAGAAGGCAATGCACCACAACTGTCCTGTTTGTTTTGAGGTGAATTTCAAAACATGGAATTCTGATGTTCATATACTTAGCCATATATTTATTAAATGTGCCATGTCAATAATACAATCAACTGTGTCGCTGCAGTTTCTTTTCGATACAATGAGAGACATTTCCGTTCTCCCATGTGGACACACTATACATTTAGAATGTGTGAAGGAAATGGAGCAACGCTTACAGTAAGTCCAGTTTCTGTGTTACAGAAAATGCTTTTTGTTCTGATCATTTGCTCTGTGTCTTTACTGGTTGGGTTAAATCTGCAGATATACATGTCCTGTTTGCTCAAAATCCTACTGCGACATGTCGAGCGTGTGGGAGAAACTGGATCACGAGGTCGCATCGACGCCCATGCCCCAAATATATCAACATAAAATGGTTAGTTTAGTAGTGGGTGCAAAACAATTTGTGGCTTCTCAAAAGAAACAGCTGATTAATTTGATAAACTGACAAAGTTGCTTCTTTGACTGTTGGTTAGGTTTGGATCTTGTGCAATGACTGGATCTTGTGCAATGACTGTAGTGAGATATCAGAGGTAAATTATCACATTGTGGCACACAAGTGCCTCAACTGCAAGTCCTATAATACAAGACTGACCCAAGGTGGGCCCTCTTCATGCTCTCCAAGGATTGCTCAAATGGTGAGATGAGATGACTGACTTCTACACAAAACCCGATAGTATCTTCGAGATTCCCATTCTCGAAAGAAGATGCCTAAAACCTTAATCCTGCAATGCTTGCCCATGCCATGACACATATCATGGGTAGCTCCCCCTTGTGCAACAGGATTTAGGCGCATTCATTTAACTTTGAAGAAGAGAGATGGTGACCTTTCACCATTGCTCTCAGTTGCTGTTTCTTTCTTTGTAACCATTAATCATTGTGGAAATAATGTAGTGTGTTTATTCAGTTGGGCCCCCACTATTATGGAAGCAGGCTCCCAATTTTATTGTATATTCTATAGCGAACATCTAAATTACATTCGATTCAAATCTTTCACATTCTAAATAACATAATTTAGAACGAAAAAAAATGTTTCTTGGTAAAGAAACAATTTAATTCCTTGTTTAGTAGAAGTTTGATTCTAGATTGTATTTTGAAAACTTATTCAATGAATTGTTGAACATGAGTTTGCTGGGGACGTTTGGGATTTGTTGGGTTCGGAATAAGAATTGTTGTTCTATGATGGAGTCAAGTACCCCTTTTAATATTTAATTAAAATATAAAGCAATTTTATTTTAAATAAAAGAAATTTTTATTAGGAAAGTAAAGAATTGACACTTTACAAGAGAAGGCTCTCTTACTCTAACTTGACTTCATTCCACCTATTTTCCTCACTTTCTTTTATTTATAAACAAATAATCCTTTAAGCCCAAGTAAATAGATCCTTTTAGACTTCTCTTAGATTTTATATATTCTAAATATTTCTTTTGTAAATTTTAGAGAATTCTAGAATTCCTTAGAGCCCTAGGAATAGGATATTTCTAGAGTTTCTTTGGAAATAAATCTAGAAATAACTATAATTTTGTGGAGTTGGTATTGTTGGGAGTGGATTCAAAGAACTTTACAATGTGTCCCTCAAATGCTAGAGCCTTTATTGTATGTCATTTTATTATTTTGGTTGGTTTATTTTATTCCCTTACCATTCTGGGTTTGCAACATGCCACTATTTCTTATGCTCACTTTTTAAAAAAAAAATATATAATAAATGGTTTCATTGATATAATTATGTTACCGAAAGGCAGTAGAAGACCATGGGAGTAATTACAAAAAGCTTTTGATTTTAGACACCAACAAATAAAGTTGAACATCATCCCAGATTTAAGATTCTTCCTTTACGTTTATGCCAAATTTGATCCAAAGCAGTTTCTTCTAATCCTTCAAGGTTATGTGCCCACACAATTACTCAACCATAAAATATTTGGAGGATGCATGGTAAGAATTTTCTATTAACATGCCTCATTGGCAAATACACATAACTTCCTCCAAATCCAAATTTCCATACCCTACATACAAATTTCTATATTTTCAATTGCAAATTAGTAGGCAAAATTTGGATAATCAGCCATCAAATCTTTGAGTTGATGGAATAAAGACTGATTTCTCGATTATTGAGTGCCTGCGTTGGTCTTGCATTGAACTCTGCATACTGCAATGAACACAACAAACAGACAAATGCTTCAATTCCTAAGGAACAGACTCATCAACATTTTTATAGTAAAAGTAATTGAGGTTCTTACATCATAAACAGCCTTCCTTAGAAGATCTACTTGCTCCTTTGACACTGTCCCAATCTGTTGTATTTCAGTTCAAAAACCTTGGTAAGATTCAATCCCAAAATTTTGACAAAATTCTAACTTATTAGAATTCAACTTAAATCTTTCACTCACTCTAATCCATATAGCAATGTTACAAGCATTTGTTTAAAAAAGGATGAGCCGATTTAGTTTCAATGGTTGTAATTAAAATGTTTGGAAGAAACTCCTCGTTACCTCTTTGTTTAAGGTCCAAATTACACCTTCGGTGCAAGGAGGAACGGTGAGAGAACCAATGTATCTGTAGTACTCTGTTCCACCAAACTTGATGTCGGCTGGATTCATCACTCCCATCTTCTTTTCTTGCATCTGATCAATCATGCCGCTTATTCCCACGCTCAACTAGACAAACATAAAAGAATTATGCAGTCAAATGAAAGTAAAGGTATCATTTTACTTGATAATTCACGTGTTAGTTATCTTATTAGTAGCAATCATTAACTATGACATACATGAGTTAAAATCACTTAAATCTATTTGAGTTTATAAAACAACCAAGTGGTTTACCTGGGCGACAAAAGGGTCTGGTTGGCCAATTTGATAGAGTTGACCAACAACAGCAATCTTGTTATCAGGAGTCTGGTGAACCATGTGGAGTTCCAAGTCGAACCTGATTGATAGATAAAGATTACAGAAAATAATTGTATCTTAATACACTAATTAGTACATTCAATAGATTTCTGGGTGGTCAAAATAGGATGGTTGTGTAATTGCAATTTAGTGCGAAAGAAACACCTTTTTCCATTGACCGTATGCTCTGTAGGTGAGTGCCAATGAATTTGTTGAAGATTATAAACGACGCCGTTTACCAGGATTGATCCTGCATTACCATCCCAAAATAGCTGCATCCGGCCACATTAAAGAGTGAAAAGTCTTGAAACAAATCAAGAAACCATAAAAATCGATATACAGAGAGGGAATGTGTTCAATTTCTTACAGAAATATCATGGCCCCTATTTTTTAATGTTGCACTGCAAGGATTGTAACTTTTGTTTAGCAGTCCCAACTCTGGAGTAATCTTCACTCCCTGGCTTGTTAAATCTATGGGAGATTGCAAACGTCCATTGTTACAAGCTTCCCACTCTTTCTTTAGATTTCCCCATTGTTCTGGCCCTTTAACGCTCCCTTTTTTGTACTCGAACTCTACCTCGTGCCCTGCAACCAACGATTTTGAAATACCGGTGTAAATATTCGAGCAGAACAGTAGCTTCCATCTCGAGATTTTACATCGATTTTTACTCGACTAAAGTAAAGGAACAAGCATTTACGAGCGCTGCTTCGATTCAAAAATTAATTAGTAAAATCAGAAATGAAAACAGATACATAAATATGTGGTTTAAACACGAAGAAAATGGAAGCGAGAGAAATCAAAACGATATGTAAAGATAATATCAGTTGTATTGAAGAGTACACTAACTGCAACGAGTTCGAAAAGCCGATGCAAATATTCCCGCCAAACTCTAGCTTCCATCTCAAGATTTTAAATCGATTTTTACACAACTAAGTAAATGGAAATTTATTTACATCAAGCGATTGAGATAAGACAAGTGCGTTCGATTCGAACAATAATTAATAGAACCAGAAATTAAATACAGAAATACGAATACAATGAATGGTTTAAACAGAGGGCAAATGCAAGAAGAACAGGGAAAGGGGAGAAATCGAAACAATGTAGATGGATAAATGAGCAGCAGCGAAGATTTTACCTACTACATGCGCAGATATAGAAGATGAATGCATGAAAAAGAGCAGAACAGAGAAGAAAACGACGAGTTTAGTCGGAATTTCCATGGCCTCGGGGGCGAAAAAGGAAGCCAGGAAATGATTTGGAAGAGAAAGCAATGGAATCGGCGTTGGGATTGGCTCTACTCTCTCAGATTACGAGCAAATATTATATAGTCATTGAGAGAGAGAGCGGTTGCGAAACTTTTGTGGAGCTTCCGAATTCTGTGATGAAATCAATGAAAGTTTTAAATTACTGAAAATAAAAAGTGTGGAGAAGCGGGTAGCGCGGATTCTGTAATTTGCTTTGTTTTGTTTCTATACATATATTTTTTCCCTATAAAATAAATTTCTGATTGATTTTACTTTTTGTTTAAATTTAAAATTTATTATAGGTTAAAAAACACTACTTTCCCTAACCTAATAATTTAGTCCATAAACTTTAGTTTGTAACGATTTAATCCATGTACTTTCACTAAACTAACAATTTAGTCCCTAAATTTTAACTTGTAAATTTGTAATGATTTAGTCTCCTATAGTTTAAAATTTGTAACAATTTAGTCCCTATCGTAAACAATTTTATTAAAATTAAGTGTCAAATTTTATTGTATAACAATTTAATCTTTCTCGTTATAAACATATTTTGTCCCTCCTTAATTTATCTATCCATATATATAAGAAATTTAACCAAAAAAATTCACGATAACGACTAAATCCTTACCAACTTTAAATTACAATGACTAAATTGTTACATATTAAAGTTCAAAGACTAAATTGTTAATAATCTGAAATTACAGGGATTAAATCGTTACAAAATAAAGTTCAGGGACTAAATTGTTATTTTAACTAAAGTACAGAGACCAAAAGTATTTTTTAACCTTATTTTTGCAAAGGATTTAAATTTTATTTTGTTCCTTCGCACTTTTTTTTTTCGTCTTAAATTTTTGTATAAGAGTCATTTTAATTTAATCCTAACTTTAAATTATGTACTATAAGTAGACTTATGTTTAAATGGCATGGATGAGTAGCATGAAATTTTTTTTCTTTTTTTTTTTTATGGTATAAAAATTTAATGATGAAAATAAAAATAGTATTATATCTATATTGGTGATTTTTTTTTTGATATTTTTGATATTTTGATAATTTTATTTTTTGAAATACTCGATTTTTTTAGTACAACATTTTGGAGGTATATGCCAATTATTGCTGAGCTATACTAGCTTTGGTTGGAAATGTCGACTTACTTCTCATATCGATGTAAAACTTATGAACACATGAAATGTCGACATGCTGATGGAAATTTAATACATGGCAAACCTCTATCCAGAAATGGAGGGAGAGAGAGCACCAACCAACGCGTATGTTCTGATTCACTGCTATCATCGTGTTATCAATTACGATATAAATTAAAGGCTAAATTACAAAAAATATCATTGAACTTTGTCTTTCATTCAAAAAATATCCTATCATTTTAAAAGTTTCAATATTTTTTATAAACATGTAAAAAATATCTATGGAACAAACATCTATTAATACTGTTTAACAGGGAATTAACATGACAAAATCTACAATARCATGATAATTATTGTCTTAATTTACTCCTAAAAATCATTTTCATCCATTGTAAGTTCGCTTTTTCATTGTTTACTCAATTTTGCTATAATCTTCCTTTTAAATACAATCACTTCATCAACATTTCCTCTCTTTTATATTTAATCTGGGCAAACTTTTATGTTAATTGTTATGTCATTTCAAATTATGCTCAAAATATTGACAAATGTTTACTCAAAATATATTTTAATGTTTATGAATGGTAAAAAATAGTATAAAATTTTTTGAAAATATAGTATTGAAAATTTTGAAATGATAGAGATATTTTTTAAACCAATAACAAACTTAAAAGGCATAGTTTTCCAAATTTGGCCTAAATTCAACTCTTTTTTTTTCAACTCATTTGTTCTACTTCCCCTTTAATTTAATTGATGGTTACTCAGCTAGGACGCACTAAACTCTCCCTCTCGGTTCGGTCTCACTTCAAAAGCAATAGGCCCAATTCCTTTTTTTTTTTATTTTTTATTTTAACTATTTTACTTCAAATTTACCCTGGTTATTTCAATATTTTAATTTCTTGTACTTAGTTTTTCTAACTCTGAAAAAAATTAGGTAAGTGTGGCAATTGGTACTCTTCATTTCATTCCTATTAATTTTAACAAAAAAAATCATGAAAAAAAACTCACAAATTCAACAAAAATCAAGTTTTTCATAAATTAAATTTGACTCATACACAAATCAACTATTTAATAACTTCGCGAGACTTACAAATCTTAAATAAATGTGTAACATATTTTTGTTTGAATCCTATCAAATTTGATATACATTTTATAATTCATGAAAACAATTTTTTTTAATTCATTTACTCTCCATTCACCCTAGCTTTTTTAGACCAATGAGTCACCCAGGATAGTTTAAAATGTGTTATTTTTTCGCAATTCTATTTAATTATTTTGGTTTTATCACTACATTGTATGAAATCATGAAAATCTGTATTTTATAAAAATTTAGGGATTAAAATAATTCGAATGGTCTTTTGAAAATACTTTCTTATAAAAAAAATCAAATTTTCAAATATATCAAAAAATAACAATAATGAGAGAAGAGAGAGTGCCTCTAGATAAATATTGTCATCCCTCTTTTATTGTCTCTTACTACACATCGAAGCTCCAAGATTCGATGTTTCTTGATTTTAAATCGTCACTTTTACAAAGAGTTATTTGGTCGAGGAGTTCACTGTCTTTATAAATTATAAATGAGTAATTTTTGTTTTTTCCTATCAACATAAATTTCACATAAAACTCTTTGAAAAATAAGGGAATTAAAACCTTATAAAGGTCCAATTCAAATTAGCAGAATTAAAAGCATAATTTAAACAATTAAAAAAATAGGCGAGAGATGGCATGATGAAATTTGGATAATCAGCCTTCAGTTCTTTGAGTTGGGCGAATAAAGATGGATTTCTCGATCATTGAGTGGCTGCACTGGTCTTGCATTGAACTCTGCATACTACAATCAACAAAATACAGACTCAAATGCTTCAATTCCCAAGCAAAAGGTTCATCAAAATTTTGCAGTAAAAACAATTGAGTTTCTTACATCATGAACAGCCTCCCTTAGAAGTTCCACTTGCTCCTTTGACACTGTCCCTATCTGTTGTGTTACAGTTCAAAAACTTTGGTAAGATTCAATTAATCCCAATATTTTGACAAGATTTTAAATGATTAGAACTGAAGTATTACATCTTTCCATTCAAGGAATCAGATCTATTTTCTCACTCTAATTCATTTGGCATGTGTTATAAGCATTTGGATCTCATATATGAATGTGTTCAACAAAGGGCCAAAGTTGATTAAATTTTACCAGCAGATTTACTTTCAGTAATGGTAATTAAATCATTCGGAAGAAACTCTTGCTTACCTTCTTGTTTATGGTCCAAATCACACCTTCAGTACACGGAGGAACAGTGAGAGAACCAAGGTACCTGTAGTACCTTTTTCCACTAATCTTGATGTCATCAGGATTCATCACTCCCATCTTCTTTTCATGCTTCTGATTAATCATGCTGCTAATGTCCTTACTCAACTATTCATTAAGAAAAGAAGAAAAAACATTTAGTTTTTATTTTTAGAGAAAGAAGAGAAATGAGCCCTTTTTTATGTAATGTTTAGTGTTTGTTAATGGTTTGGATTTGGATTAATAGATATTTTAGATCCAATCCAAGAATTTGGTTTATAAATTTGTTTGAACCAAATGATCAGATTTAATCTTACAATATTTGGACTGGGTTGAGGTTGTTTGAGTCTTCATTTAAAAGGAAATCATTAAGGAATAATATTGGACTTTATTGGCCTATTTTCAAAGACAACTCAAAATGACATATTATATTTAATGAGAAATAATCCTCAAAGATTTGAACCAACATTTTTCTGGTGGGATAAACAAACATAATTATGCAGCAGAATCAAATTAAATGTATCATTTTAATTAATAATTCGTGTTGGTTCTTATTATCACAAATTAATTTCATGAGAATGATGAACTAAATCTTAACAAACATGAGTTCAAATCACTTAAATCTAATTGAGTTTATAATCCAACCATTTAAATTAAGTTTGGTTGAGAGCATTTTCTTATGTTTAGAGGTGGTTTTACCAGTGAGAGAACAGGGTCTGGTTTTCCAATTTTATAGAGTTGACCAACAACAGCAATTTTGTTCTTCGAATTGGGATCAGAACTCAAGTGAACCATGTGGAGTTCCAAGTCGTACCTGATTGATTGATTAACAATGTTAATTATCAACAATTTAGAATCATTATTAAAAATTACAGAAATAAGTATATCATAATACGGTAATTAATACATTAAAGGTCAAAATAGGATGGTTGTGCAATAGATTTTTAGTGCAAAAGAAAAACCTTTTTCCATTGATTGAATGCTCAGAAGGTGAGTGCCAATGGACTTGTTGAAGGTTATAAACGACGTCGTTTACCTCGATTGACCCTGCATTACCATCAAAATATAGCTGCATCCAGCCAAATTTAACGAAGGGAAAGTCTTAAACAAATCAGAAACCGTAAAAATCGATGAACAGAGAGGGAATGTGTTCAATTTCTTACAGAAATATCATGGCCCCTATTTTTTATTGTTGCATCGCAAGGCTTGTAACTTCTCTTTAGCTCTCCCAACTCTGGAATAGTCTTCACTCTCCGGCTTGTTAAATCTATGGGAGATTGCAATTTTCCATTGTTACAAGCTTCCCACTCTTTCTTTAGCTTTCCCCAAAGTTCTGGCCCTTTATCGCTCCCTTTTGTGTAGTCAAACTCTATCTCATGCTCTGCAACCAACGATTTTGAAATACCGATGTAAATATTCGATCAAACAGTAGCTTCCATCTCGAGATTTTACATCGATTTTTACTCGAGGAAAAAGCATTTACTTCAAACGATTCAGATGAGAGCGCTACTTCGATTCAAAAACTAATTAGTAGAGACCTAAATATGTAAATGGAAGGGGGAGAAATCAAACCAATGTAAAGATAATATCAGTTGTAGTGAAGAGTTTACAGCAACGAGTTTGAAATGCCGATGCAAATATTCCAGCCAAACTATAGCTTCCATCTCAAGAATTTACATCGATTTTTACACAACTAAGCAAATGAAAATTTATTTACGTCAAACGATTCAGATGAGAGCGGCGTGTTCGATTCGAACACTAATTAATAGAATCATAAATTAAAATCGATACTGAAATACAAATACATTGGTTTAAACATATGGTAAATGCAACAAGAATAGGGGAGAAATCGAAACAATGTAGATAGATAAATCAGCAGCAGTGAAGAGTTTACCAACTTCTTGCGCCGAGATTGAAGATGAATGCATGAAAAAAATCAGAATCGAGAAGAAAACGATGTGTTTAGTCTGAATCTTCATGGTCTCTGGAGCGAAAACCGAAGCCATGAAATGATTAGCAAGACCAAGCAATGGAATCGCCGTCGGGAGTTGCTCTATTCTCTCAGATTACGAGCAATATATATAAACATTGAGAGAGAGAGAGAGAGAGAGAGAGAGAGAGAGACAGCGATTGCGAAAATTTTGGGGAGCTTCTAAATTCTGATGAAATGAATACTAAAAGTTTAAAATTACAGAGGAAACAAGTGTGGAGAAGCGGGTAGCGCGGATTCGGTAGACTGTTTTTTTTTTCTTCTTCTAATTTTGTAAAAGAAAAAACTAATTTTAATTATTTTGAACTTTATTTAAAAAATATTGTAGTTTTCTTGTTACTCCTTGTTTGTTTCTATATATAGATTTGAATTAACTTTTTTCTGTAAATTTGTTTTTAGTTTTGATTTAAACTAAAATTTATTTTGTTCCTTCACAGTTAATTTTGTATTTTCATTTTCAGCCTATTAAAATTTGAGTGAGTTGCCTAAGTGGGTGTGAAAGACTCAAAGTAGGGGTAGAGATTCAAAGCCAACCTTTTAATCTGTCAATTATCGTCGAGTTGTTCATGCTGGCAACTCAAAATCATACTGGTTTGTGAATAGTATAAATTCAATTGATTCAATCTAATTTTAGGTGAAATTCAACATCAAAATCATGTTCAGTAACGATTTCATTTTAAGTTTTTAATTTTTAATATTTTGAACGAAAAGTTAACATAACAAATTCAAACGACATGACAACTAATACACCTTTATTAAGTGAGAAAATGTGGAAGTAGGACAAGATTGGCTTGAAAATGAAGAAGCAAACAAAGACTTTCAGCGCAGAATGGTTAATTGTCACGTTGTTTAAAAATATATATGTCAACTATCAGATGAAAATCAAAATACTAACATATGGTTGCTTGGAGGGTTCTTCGAAGCAAAGCTAGTATTGAAACTTTTGAAACGACAGGGATATATTTCAAACAACATATAAAGTTAATAAGTATTTTTGTAATTTAACCTAAACTCAAACTCAACGAAAATATGGTAATTAAAACATTATATATAAAGGTCCAGTTCCAATTACCAAAACTAAAAGCATATTTTAAACAATTAAAAAGTAGGATCTAAAAAAACCAATTAACAAATAGGCGAGAAATAGCAATACAATTTGGATAATCAGCCTTTAGTTCTTTGAATTGGACGATAAAGATGGATGTGTCGACTATTGAGAGGCTGCAATGGTCTCGCATTGAACTCTGCATACTGCAATGAACAAAATACAGACTCAAATGCTTCAATTCCTAAGCAACAGATTCATCAAAATTTCGTTGTAGAAGCAATTGAGTTTCTTACATCATGAACAGCCTCTCTTAGAAGTTTTACTTGCTCCCTTGACACTGTCCTTATCTGTTGTGTACAATTCAAAAATTTTGATAAGATTCAATCCCAATATTTTGACAGAAAATCTTTCAATTCAAGGAATCGGATCCATTTTCCTTACTCTAATCCATTTGGTACATGTTCTAAGAATATGCCTCAACAAAGGATAACTCAAATCTAATAGAATAATCATATGTAGTTCATCAAGTTCTTAAATTCATAAATGAATGTGTTTTACTTTCAAGTTTCAGTGCTCGCAATCAAATTGTTTGGAAGAAACTCTTCCTTACCTTCTTGTTCATGGTCCAAATTACACCTTCGGTACAAGGAGGAACAGTGAGAGAACCAAGGTATCTATAGTATTTTCTTCCACCAAACTTGATGTCGGCAGGATTCATCACTCCCACCTTCTTTTCGTGCTTCTGATCAATCATGCCGCTTATGTCCCTACCCAGCTAAACATAAATAAAATAAAACATTTAGTTTTTATTTGTAGAGACAGGAGATAAATGAGCTTTCTTTTAATGTAATGGTTAGTGCTTGTTAGTTAGGTTGGGTTTGGACTAATAGACTTTTTAGATCCAATCCAAAACTTTGGTATATAAATTCGTTCGAACCAAATGATCGGATTTAATCCTACAATATTCGTATTGGGTAGATTGATTAAGGTCGATTGAGTAGTAATTCATTTAAAAAGAAATCATTAAGAAATAAAATAGTAGTAATTTTGGACTTCATTGGCCAATTTAAGAGATATAATTCAAACTTATACTATATTTAATGCTCAAATATTTGAACCAACCATAAAAGAATTGTGCAGTCAAATGAAATTAAATGTATCATTTTACTTAATAATTAGCAACAGTGTTGGTTCTTATTATCACAAATTAATTTTATGAGAATCATGAACTAAAATTTAACATACATGAGTTCAAATCACTGAAATCTAATTGAGTTTATAAACCAACCATTTGAGTTGGGGTGGGTTCAGATCGTTTTCTTATGTTTGGAGGTGGTTTACCTGAGAGAGAAAAGGGTCTGGTGGGCCAATTTTGTAGAGTTGACCAACAACAGCAATCTTGTTCTTCACATTGGGATCAGAACTCAGGTGAACCATGTGGAGTTCCAAGTCATACCTGATTGATTATCAATGTTAATTATCAACAATTTAGAATCATTATCAAAAATTACAGAAGATAATTATATCTTAACACGGTAATTGGTACATTCTATTCATTTCTGGGACAAAATAGGAGGGTTGAGCAATAGCTTTTTAATGCAAAAGGTACCTTACTCCATTGATCGAATGCTCTGAAGGTGAGTGCCAATGGGATTGTTGAAGATCATAAACGACCCCGTTTACCAGGATTGACCCTGCATTACCAACCCAATATATCTGCATCCAGCCACATTTAACGAAAGAAAAGGTTAAACAGATCAGAAACCATACAAATCGAAAAACAGAGAGGGAATGTGTTCGATTTCTTACAGAAATATCATGGCCCCTATTTTTTATAGTTGCATTGCAAGGATAGTAGCTTCTATTTAGCTCTCCCAACTTTGGAATAATCTTCACTCTCTGGCTTGTTAAATCTATGGGAGATTGCAAATCTCCATTGTTACAAGCTTCCCACTCTTTCTTTAGCTTTCCCCAGTGTCCTGGCCCTTTGTCGCTCCCTTCTATGTAATCGAACTCTCTCTCATTTTCTGCAACCAACGATTTTGAATTACGGATGTAAACATTCGAACAAAACAGTAGCTTCCATCTCGAGATTTTACATCGATTTTTACTCAAGTAAATGAAAATCTATTTACGTCAAACAATTCAGATGAGAGAAGTCCATCGATTCCAAAAGCTAATTAATAGAATCAGAAATTAAAATAGAGATCTAAATCTGTGGTTTAAACACGAAGAAAATGGAAGGGGGAGAAATCAAAACAAAGTAAAGATCATATCAGTTTGAAATACCGATGCAAATATTGGAGCCAAACTATAACTTCCATCTCATGATTCTATATCGACTTTTACTCAACTAAGTAAATGAAAATTTATTTACATTAAACGGGTGCGTCGATTCAAACACTATCAGAAACTAAAATCGATACTGAAATACAATGGTTTAAACAGAGATCAAATGCAACAAGAGAAGGTAAATAGGAGAAATCGAAACAATGTAGATAGATAAATCAGCATCAGTGAAGAGATTACCAACTTCTTGCGCTGAGATTGAAGATGAATGCAGGAAAAATAGCAGAATCGAGAAGAAAACGAAGTGTTTGGTCCGAATCTTCATAGTCTCTGGAACGAAAACTGAAGCGAGGAAATGATTTGCAAGACCAAGCAAGTGGAATCGGCGTCGGGATTTGCCCTATTCCCTCAGATTATGAGCAAAATATATAAACATTAAGAGAGAGAGAGACA